ATTTACAGTAAAGGTTAATAATGAAGACACTCACAGGGATCTAGTATGGACAAAAACTACATAGTGGCTCTGAGGGGTGGGGTGGGGGAGGGGAGGGTTTGTACATTTATCTAACTTGTTGTCTTTTTTCTAGGAAATCATAATAAATCCCCAAATGCACATGATGTCAATAATAAAAAGAAATTGCCCCAATTCAAGCTGTGATGATAATCCCCAAAGGTCTGTGAGGAAGTGTGTACAAAGTGCTAGTAGAACACAGGAGTGCTCAGGGATCATGCTTGTGTACACTGGTTTAATAGAATGCTGATTGGCCAGTGGCCAGGCAGGAAGTACAGGAGGGATAAGCAGACAAAGAGAATTCTGGGAAGCGGAAGGCTGAGTCAGAAGATGCCAGCCCACCATCCAGGGAGGGCCATGTAACGGCACACAGGTAAAGCCAAGGAACACATGGCGACATATAGTTGACCAGAAATGGGCTGAGTTTAAGTGTAAGAGCTAGTTAGTAGTTAGCCTGAGCTAATGGCCAAGCAGTTTTAATTAATATAAGCCTCTGTGTGTTTACGTGGGTGTGAGTGGCTGTGGGGCGGGACAGGACACAAGAAAACTTCTGGTTACAGAGGAGGGAATGAACATTTCTTTAGGTTGGATAAAAGGAGGTTTTGAGGATGAGTGTTAGCTGAATCTTCAGGGTCAGTTGAGCAGGGACAGGTTGGTGAGGAGGTAAAGGAATGAAGGACAGGCACAGTTTGGGGCATGGTGTGTCTGAACACTGAGCAGAAAACCTACAAACAGCGGAGCTTCCTCTTTCCTGACTGCCACACACACTTTTAACTTTGAGAGGAAATGGAAGGGGAAAAAAGGTCTGTAGAACCAGTCGTTTCGGCTGTTCCTATGTGATCATAGCATTTCTTATATGAATTGTCAAGCAAGGGATGAGCTTATAAAAGGATATTAATGTGTCGTTTTTATCGAGCAAAGAAGCATTACAGAAAAGGTGATTTCAAAGGCACATGGTTCTTTCATTACAGCCTTCAGGGGCAATGTTTGATCACTGAAAACAGGCTGCTTTGTTCCAGTTTGCTCTGATGTTTGGCATTATCCTGAATACATATGCTCTGACTTGGAAAGAATCAGTCTGTAAAGATTTAATAGATTTGAGACTTGCATATTCAAAATACATGTCTCCTGGTTAAAATGGAATGAAAACTACTTGAATATGTATGTCTATGCATAAGCAAACATACTTCAGACACACATCTCAGCAAAAGTTTAAGAAGCAATCACACATATGTGTTTATTCTGAGCTCATGGAAGTTGCCTATTTTTAAAATTCATCATTATATTAAACCTCAGGGAAAAGTATATTTTAGAAGGTATTATATTGGTAAGAATAAAGTATGGGAAACTTGCCTGATTCAAGGATCTACAAGTAGCTAGCTATATGGCTTTGTTATCTGTCACTGACACAACTTCTTCATTTTGGGGGCCCCTGAGCAGCCTTTCAAGTATAGAAGTGGTGAGGATGTGGTTCAGCTGGTAGAGTGTTTGCCTCACATGCTCAAAGCCCTGGGGTGGATCTCCAGCACCATGTTGACTGTGCGTGGCAGCACCTGGGACATATGAAGCAGGAAAATCAGAAGTCTATGGACTTCTTGGGCTGCATTTTGAGTTGAAGACCAGCCTGAACTACACAAGGCATTGAGGGGGGAGGGAGAGAGAGGGAGAAAGGGGAGAGAGGGGAGGTAGAGGGGGGGAGGAAGGAGAGAGAGGGAGAGAGGAAGAGAGGAGAGAGAGAGAGAGAGAGAGAGAGAGAGAGAGAGAGAGAGAGAGGTTTCTTGGTTAGAAACAAAATGGTAGTCACATGTTAAAAGAGGAATTTTCTGTTAGCATTTGCATGGTGTTCTTATTCTAATATTAATAAAAGAAGTGAATTTCCCTTTTATTTTTAAGGAGAGAGAGAGAGAGAGATGCTTAGGATGAGACTAGAAACTTTTAATGTGTTGGCTAGAAAGCATAATTTTATTGTCACAGAATTCTCCGGCTTCTCGCCCTTACAGACTGATATATAATCTTGCACAAATTTATCTTTTGAATTTTGGATCCTTTTGAACCTGTAAAAGAAGATGGCATTTTCTGCCATTCATTTGGCTATAAATCATATGGAAGAATAGACACTCATTGTACAGAAATTAAGGGCAACACTTTCAGCTAAAAGGTGTTCAGTTAAATTATGTCCTATTTCACTTGATAAAGAAAAAAAAATCTTTCCTTAACACTTACATATCTCAAATCCTTTTCCTGTTCCCCACCTTGGTGACACCCAAGGTTTTCTCTGGGAGGGTGGCCCATGCTCCTCTGATTTCTTTTGCCACAATATCAAAACAGGTTGTTTCAGTTGTGTGCTTGCAGACCAGTGCTTTACAAACCTTAATGTACTTATTAATCATCTGGGGAGCTTGTTAAGAATGCAGGTTCTGAATCAGCAACTTTGGCCAAGATTCTAACAAGCTCCCGGGTGACACAGTGGACCACAGTTTGGGTAGTTAATGTCTAGAGTACAAATGACCTCTTATTAAATTGGTATTTGTTCTGGGACCCTGATAACTGGAAATGTAGATTCCCTAACTTTAAAGTTACTTCAGACCATTGTTTTGTGCATTGTAAATTTAATAAAAAACTGAATAATTTTGACTTCCTCCACCTATTCCTTCTTAAAACAAGATAAAACTAAACTAAAAAACACTTCACTTCTCTTACTTTATGATTTAGACACAAGAAACTACTTAAAGTTTCCAGAATGTGTCAGGTTTCTTTTGTTTGTTTCTTTTTATATCTTAGGACCTTTCTAATACTGTTGCTTCTGCCCATTTTTGCATTATGTGACCCTTCCTTTAAAGTCCACACCGGCCATTGTCTCCTTCAGGATTCCCTCTCCTTTGCTCTTTCCCATGGAAATGAAATGCTTCTGAGACTTCACAATACTCTGCATTTCCTACATTATGGCTTCTTCCTGGTCTTTTTCAATGGTCTGCCTACCTGCCCACTCTTTGCAGGACCATGCTTCCGAGGGAAAAGACTATACATCTCATCCCCGATGCCTACTGCCACTCACAAGGCCTAAGACATTCAGGTTACTGACTGAGTGAAAAGGGGGGCCTGGATATATTGTAATCATACAAAAATATGATGCAATATTTTTTCTAGTGAACCTTAAACTAGAATTGGGAGTAATAAAAACCAAACTCAGGAAAAGTTAAATACAGGATGATATAATGGTAATGGTATAAAATGTTAGTATGTGATTTAGCATAGCATATAACTGTTCTTAGTTCACTGACAATAAATGTTGCATGGATTTTTTTGAGTTATTTATTTTATCCCTCAGCTTATTCCAAAGAGAAAAGGACTTGAGACTGGTAACTCTATGTACTCAGGTTAATAAAGGTACAAGAACAGAAGTAGTTAAGAGAAGAATGTGAGAAGGCAAATGGGGGTTGTGGATCAGATACTCAAAGCTTGAGGACCAGACAAGCTGATCCTCAGGACGGATGTTCTCAGTACAGGATGCTCACATGCTGGACTTCCATTTCCACTCTGCTTGGGAGCCTCACCTCCACGAGACTGTTAGCCCCTCTCTTGTCCTTTGGGCCACAGAGGTACTCTGGAAGAACAAGGAAGGTCAGAATATCTGTTTTCTTAGGTTGCCTAGAGGTGGCTGGGCTGCTACGTAAATTGTCCCTATGTAAGTCAAGTACCTTCAGATTCTTCGATTGTGTTATATCATGCTGCCTGTTGAGACATTGGTATAGTCATAGAGTGTTTTGAACTGGGTTAAATCCCAGCTTTATAAACTTTTATGAAAGCCATGAATGCCATAAGAGGGTTATAGTATGTATATCTATACCTATACCTATACTTATACCTATATATCAGACCAGAGTCTGTGAGGGCACTAAAGAAAAAATAAATGGAAATAGAAAATTTACTTTTCAAAAGAGAAAATTTCAGAAGGCAGATAGAGCTAGCATTTTTTCCTTGTAGCCTTATATTTACCTTGATCAAGAAGCTTTGAGCCATTGTGGATGAAGGGACACGTTACTATTGTATTTACATGCTTGTGGTTGTACAATGCTCCTTACGCCAGTTGTAAGCTACTGTTCGTTTGTGATGCCATTGTCTACCAGAGAAGCCACCTTGGGTTGTTCTCTTTATGACTAGGGCTGACTGCTCAGAACTGTGACCTCATCTTCCCTGATGTTCATGGTTTGCTTGTTTCACTGCCCGTTCTCCTTCTCTTTGGGAGACCACGGAAAGAAAATAAATGAATGAAAACCTTAACATTCGTATCCAGGATGAGAGGTTTGTCAAGAAGGAGGTTGAAATCATGAACCACAGTGACGCTGCTCTGTTTTGCTGGGCTGCTCTGCCACCTATTGCCATAAAGGTATTGAACACTGTCTCCAGCTTGTCAAAAAGCAACAGATAAAAATGGCTAAGGAGACTTAAATTCACGATGATTAAGGGAACCAGATCTGAAAAATCAGTAGGGAGCTGTTAGTATGAAGCTCTGGTGTACAAGCCTGTCTGTCTTTGGGTCTTGGATTGTATCATAGCCCTGTTTGCAGAACTTACTCAAATTGCTGTTGACTCATATAAACCTAATTCTGTGACCTGGCAAAAATGTGCCATAAATCCTGGCAGCGGGAGACCTGTGTGTGTTTGACCTTAGATAAATGAGCTAAAGGTGATGAGCAAACTATAAATTCATTTAAAATAGTGAAAAAATAAGATTGTTTATACTTTGCCTAGTGGATAAAGTGAAAATCCAATATGTTTCCTGGTGCATGGTGTACATTTTGGGACAGTCAGATTTAATTCCTGTTTATTAGGTGGCTAAGGGAAGAACTGAGTGAAAACATTTTATGTGAGGCTCTTGACATGGATTTTGGTTTTTACTGTTTAACCTTTTTTAAAAAAAAGATTATTTTCTTTCTTTTCAGGGTCTATTTATGAAATGTTTGGCAACGAATGCTGTTTGTCAACAGGAGAAGTGATTAAAATCACAGGTCTCAAAATTAAGAAGATCATGGCTGAAATTTGTGAGGATAATACTAGAGATTCTGCATCCCAGAAGCCCTTTGAATTGCCCATGAATTTTCCAGGTATAGTTGATTGCAACCACTTCACAAACTATTAATAGTCATATGTAATCAAAACAATTGAAAACAAAGAAAAAAAAATGGCCACTCTCATACTGCTTTTGGTGTTGTTGCTGCTGCTGTGGTTTTGAGACAGGTTCTCCCTAACTAAACCAGACTGGCCTTCACCTCAAGTTTGTCCTGCCTGGGATTGCAAGTCTGAAATGGTGATAACTGCCTGGGATAGGCTGTGTAGTTGGTGGGTTGAAGAAGATAGAATTTCAAGAACTACAAAAGGAACCATGTTATGCATTTTTCATTTTTTTTAATGTGGGAACTAGTCACTTTAGTTAACAAATGACCATTTACAAGTGTTTAGTGTGTCTTTAAAGTAAGATTATTTTTGATTGGTACATAGCAACATAAACATAATATTAATAAAGGAATGTAATATGAATGTATACATAATATTTAAATCAAGCTAAAGACCTCTATAGTCTCAATTAATTAATTTTTCCTTATGGTGGAAAATGTAAAAAACCTATCTATTAGTTCTTTGAAATGTACAGAACATAATTATTAGCCTTAGTCATCTGACTGTGCAATAACACACCAGAACTTCCGGTCCCTAGGAATGCATTTTGCCATGTGCATCACTAGATGTTCTAATGAGAGTCAGTAAATCTGTTAGCTGATCATGGTAGTGCATATTTATGATCCCAGCACTTTGAGACAGGTCAATCATGACTTTAAGGAGAATCTGGGCCACATAACAAGAACCTGCCCATATATCCCTCTCTAATAAAGTGATAAAAATGAAAAAGAAGTCAAAACTACATTTTCATGAGGGGCATAAAATTAATTAGCATCATTTAAACCTATCTACTTTATTTTTTTTTTTTTAACGATTACATAGTTCATTGCCTCACCGCACACAGGATGTTACTGATCTGGTTGTTCCTTTTTATCTAGGTAATTCTATCCAGCTTTCCAATGCCATGCCTTATAGGAATTGGTTGCCCTCCATTCTTCTATCCTTAGATATGTATTTTTTATTTATATCCTGCGGTGTAAGTACCACAACATGCATATCATTAGGTAGTCACTAGTGATTCACTTGTCTTGTTCTCTAGACTATGGGCTGTCAAACTTTCTGTAAATCACATTTTAAAGCCTTGTTGTCAGGTTGTTTTTCATAACTACCCTGCTACAATCTTGTGACATGAAGGTCATGACAGCTATCATACCAGTCAACTGATGACCATGGTTTTGGCTCAACAAAAACTTTAATATAAAAAGAAGGTGGCTAGCAGGATTTGGCCAGTCAACTTATTTGTTGATGTGTGCTCTACACTACTAATTCCCAGACTTCATATTTCCACCATAGAGTACATTGAGAATAAATTCAACACCTGTCTATTGAATGAGCAAATGAGTAGTGAATGAAAAAATCACAAAAGCATTATAATGTAATGTGCTTCACAGTATGATTGATGTCTACCTGAGCTACATAGGATCAGTAGGTCATGTTTCAGCATATAGATTTGGTAGCTGTACTTCCAACTCCACCAGCTTTTAGTTGTGTTACCTTGACAAGTTATTTACTTTCACCAAATGTAATATTAAATACTAATACTACTACTTGGCTCCTAGACTCTGAAGGAAATTGTTAAAACATAATTAAAGTGCTTGTTATGACATCTGGAATATATCAAGGTCTATAAAATAGTGATAACATATTACTATTATTAGGATTCTTATGGATATCATTGGGAGAGTACAAAAATGCTCTTCAGAGAATATGATAATTAACCTGAGATTTGGAGAGTAAAAATAAATTAGTTATATTTAGGAGAAGATTCTTCTAATGCCATTCTCTGTCCCTTTGAACCAAAAGCTTGCCTATTCTTTTATAGCCTTCCTGATCTTTCATAACATGGTTTTCAAACATGGCTACACAGTGAACTCCTCTAGGGAGACTAGAAAGTCATGACACATGAGGCATCCTGATTTATTTGGTTGATGTCTGGTCATGAAGTTTTCTCAAACTCCTAAGATGGTACTAACCTGAGTTGAGAACCAGTGCTTCATAACAAGTATTCCTAAATAATAAATTTAGATGTAATCTCTCAATCTCTCTCTCTCTCTCTCTCTCTCTCTCTCTCTCTCTCTCTCTCTCTCTCTCTCTCCTCTCTCCTCTCTCCCTCTCCCTCTCCCTCTCCCTCTCTCCCTCTCTCTCCACATATATACTACATATACATGTCTCATATATCTATGTAACCCAGCCTAGCTTGGAACTTCCTTTGTAGAGGAGTCAGGCCTTAAACTCACATAGAGTGCGTACCCCTGTTTCCAAAATGTTCGCATTAGAGGCATGTGCTTCCAGACCCAGCCTAAATCACTATATTTTTATGCCTTAATTATTGTACTTATTGCAATTTATATGTAATTGGAGTTATGTCTGTGCTTGTTGGACTAGTGTGATCTAAGAGATAACAAGGTGGCTAGGAGCAGAAGTGAAATCATTTATTGCTGTAATTCTCAGTCATCAGAACAAGATGTTCAGACTAAACATTCATTTATTTAAAAGGCTGAGAATCTTCAGATAGCTGAGGAGTGCCTTACTGGACTAATAGAAACATTTGGCTTTTGACTAAAGTCTAATTTAGGTTATGATTATTTGGAACGTCCTTTGAGTTGCCAGTTAGCATGATATTTTTTCATTAATTTAGTAAAAAGTTTAAAGATATGTTTAATGAGTGACTCTTATTACAAGGGTCAGAATTAAAATAGAGGGATATAGTGACTAATAAAGGTTGGGGAACGTTTTCTACCAAAAATACTTCAAGATCCTATATAATGTTTCTTCGTTACTATCATTGGGGAAAACGATCAGAATCGAGGGCATTTTCATAAATCTCCACAGCAACATATGCTTCTTCTATACTAATTTTTTTCATTTAAATTCTGATTATATTTTGAAATTTAAAATTCCTGTAATATTTTAATTGGAATTTTTATTGACATATGTTCATTTTGCATAGTGAGGGGCTTCACTTCATAGACTATATCATGTACTTTGACTACATTCCCTTTCTTTCCCTTTCCTCACTTTTCCTATTGTTCCCATTCATTCCCCAACTCTTGCTTCTATATAAATACATATATAATATGCATATGTTGTATATAATATCTCTCTCTCTCTCTCTCACACACACACACATATAGTTTTACATATCTGTGTGAAAGTCTAGGATCCACAAATAAATGAGCAATAAAAACATGTAATATTGTCATGTCTCTCAGCTGTGTCTGTCTTTCGGCAAATGTTATAATTTAATTCTTCTTCATGGTAAAATATACCCCACTGTGCATGTACAGCACAATTTGTTACCAGTTCATCTGTTGATGAACACTTAAGATGATTCCGTAACTTGCCTACTGTGGATAGTGTAGCAATAAACATATAGGTGACGTCTTTGTGGTATGTTGACTTAGAGACTTTGGGCATATACCTAGAAGTGATGTATTTGGGTCATATGCTAGTCCTATTTTCAGCTTACAGAGGAGCTTCCATATTCATTTTTGTAGGGCTGGAATAATTAACATTTCCATTTGTTATTTATTTTCTTGATGATGACCATTCTGGCTGGAGGGAGATGGAATCTCAATGCTGTTTTATTGATTGATTGATTGACTGATTGATTGATAGCAAGGGATTTTGAACATTTTATTCATGTGTTTATTGATCATTTGTACTTTATCTTTTGAAAGCTCTCTATTTGTTACATTGTTCCATTTATTGAGTGGAATTTAGATTTTTTTTGAGTTCTTTATTCTAGATTTTAATCCTCTGTGTTGTTGTCAAATTCTTAAATTGTCTCATTACTATTTGTTTTCATTACTCATTGTTTTCTTTGCTGTTGCTGTTTAGAAACTTTTTAATTCTATCACATTTATAACAGCTTAAAAATTTTTCTCAACTAAACCAAACCAAGGGAGTAAAAGATATCTATGATGATTATTTTGAAACATGGAATAAATGCATTTTAGAAGGCACTAAACAACAGGAAGACTCCCCAAAGGTGTTCTAAACATCCTGCCTTATTTGTTCGACTCTTCAAAGTTCTTCTTGTGGCCAATTTCTAATTTATTCAATTGTTAGAGGACATACTTTCTGAAACGTGAATTTTACAAATATACTGAGACTTGTTTTATAAATATGTACTCAATATAGAAAAATGTATATCCTCTTCTTATAGAAGTACATTAAGGATACTTGTTCAATTATAGAGGTGTTCAAATCAACTCATTTCCTGGTGGATCCTTCATAACAACATATCTGTTATTGGATTCATGTATGTAGTTATTAAATGACAGTAGAGGTGAGATATTTAGGGGAAAAGGAAACAAACAGGAAAGGGTGACCAGTGGAACAGGGTGAGGGGTAGAATACGCTCATCAAACCACATATAACATATGTATTAAAAAAAGAAGTTATGATACTAAATACTGCAGTTATTATTATCATTGAATTATATAGTTCCTTAAAATTCTGTACATTTTTGTTTAATGTATTTTGAGTGTCTGGGGATATGTATCTATATGTATAATTGTTATCAGTTTTCAGTGAAGAATCTGTTTTAATATCATATAACTTTCTTTTTCACTAATAACATTTTAAAAGATAAATTTGGTCCAATTTTAAAAATTTATTTTGACTCATTGATTTTTTTAAATACTGTCTTGATCTCTTGCTAAGCTTGGCACTGAATTTAGAAAATTCCTGTGGTAACCTACTGAGAGCTGGGATTACACATGTGCACCAACATGCTATACTATATTTTGTCTGATTTAAAATAGTTATTCCAATTTTCTTTATTTTTGCAACTAGTTACATAGTCAATCTTCTACCTTTTTTACTCCCAAACTACTTATGTTTTTAAATTTAAAGTTTGGCTTCTGTAACACATAGCATATGCTTTGATATTTCTCTTTTATCATGACAAGCTGCCTTTTAATCA